AGAAAGAAAGAAAGAAAGAAAGAAAGAAAGAAAGAAAGAAAGAAAGAGGGAAAGAGAAAGAGAGGGAGAGAGGGAGAAAGAGAGAAAGAGGAGGAGAGAAACAGATAGAAGGAGACAGAAGGAGAGAGAGAGGGAGAGAGAAAGAAAGGGGGAAAGAGAAATAAAGAGAATGAGAGAGAGAGGGAAAGAAACAGAGAGGGAAAGAGAGAGAAAGAGAAACAGATAGAGGGATAGAGAAAGAGAAAAAAGGGAAAGAGAAACCGAGAGAGGGAAAAAGAGGGATAGAGAGAGAGAGAGAAAGAGGGAAAGAGAAACTGAGAGAGATAGAGAGAGAAAGAAAGAGAGAAAGGGAAACACAAAGAGGGAAAGACAGGGATAAAGAAAGAAAGAGGGAAAGAGAGATGGAGAGAGAGAGAACGAGAGAAAGAAAGAGGGAAAGAGAAACAGAGAGGGATAGAGAGGGAGAGAAAGAGGGGAAAAGAAACACACAGAGAGAGAATGAGAGAGAGAAAAAAAAACAGAGAGAGGGATAAAGAGAAAAAGAGGGAAAGAGAAACAGAAAGGGAGGAAGGAGAGAGAAAGAGAAAAGAAAAGCAAGTGATGAACTACATTTTATTTTAATTGAATTTTAAATTCAAGATCCTTGTTTATCGTTTCAGTGCTTCGTTCCCCATTTTATTCCACATCTGTAGGCTGCCTAGAGTCGCCTTTGGCGAGATGGGCAGTGTACAGGTTTGATTAAGAAATGTTTTCTGTATTAGTCCACCAATCACCTCCATTTTACTTCCTGGCTTACTCTGTACCCTTCCGGGTGGTCTCCTTTCCACGGATATAAATCAGGCCAGATCTGGCTTAGTGTTCTCATCAACCTCTCCTCTCTTCATTCCCCCAACGGTCAACCTGAATTGAGATACAGCACCCCCCCAACCCGGTTTGCTCTTATCTTCTCCTGGTTCTGCAACTCTGGGGATTTCCTAGTGGTGTCCTATCCAAGCGCCAACAACATCCCACCTCCCTTCTCAGGCCAGAGGAAGAGCTGCCTTTGCAGAGAAGTTGGACTGATAGCAGCTGTAATCCCTGCTGGCTAGCATCTTTTCCCAGGCTTGACCTCTGGCCCTTCCCAGCCTCCTCCCCGCCGCAACTGAGATTTGAACCCGTGCAGCTTTGCTTTGCAAGCAAGGCTGGTAAATGTTTTTTTTCCCCCAAAAGGGCCGAACAGCAACAGGTGTGCTGGGTTTTTCTATTAGCTGTGCTAATTTTTCATTCCCATTCAAAGTAGAAAGGTATCTCTCTTTCTCTTTTATTTTCTCTCTTTCACTCTTTCTTTCTCCCTCTTTTTCTAATTCTCTTTCTTTCTCTCTGTCTTTGTCTATCTGTCTCTCTTTCTCCTTCTTTCTCTCCTGTCTCTTCTCTCTTTGTCTGTCTGTCTGTCTCTCTCCCCCCCTCTTTCTCTTTGTCTCTTTCTCTCTCTTTTCTGTCTCTCTTTCATCTCTGTCATTTTCCTTCTTTCCTTCTGTCTGTCTTCCTCTGTCTTTTTCTTTTTGTCTCTCTTTCTGTCTCTCGTCTCTCTCTTTCTCTCCTTTTGTCTCTCTTCTCTTTCTCTTTCTCTCTCTTTGCCTCTCTGTCTCTCTTCTCTTTCTCTCTCTTTGCCTCTCTGTCTCTCTCTCTCCTTCGGCCTCTCTCTTTCTCTCCTTCTCTCTCTCTCTCATTTTCTCTTTTTGTGTCTGTCTCTGTCTTCCTTTTTTCTGTCTCTCTCTTTCTATCTCTGTCTTTTTCCTTCTTTCTCTCCTTCTGTGTCTTTCTCTGTCTTTCTCTTTTTGGCTCTCTGTCTCTCTTTTTGGCTCTCTCTCTCTCTCCTTCTGTCTGTCTCTCTCTTTTTGTCTCTTCTTTCTCTCCTTCTGTCCCTCTGTCTCTTTCTTTCTCTCCCTTTCTCTTTTCTCTCTTTCCCTCTAAAGAGTTATCAGAACCGTTTATAAAAACACACCTTATTTTAATCAGGATCAAGCCAATCAACTTTACATTCCTCCCTTTTACTTCTCGACAAGGCCTTTAATGAGCAACAACCACGGCATCTGCTGGACTTCATGGCGTAAGTGAGGTACAGCATCCACCCCTCAGTGTGACTGTAGGATCTTGTGTCAAATTGTAGACTCCATCACAACTGTCTGAGGGCCTGTACCAGTCCAGGAACTTGTTTTTTTCGGATAAACAATGCTGCGTTTCAATGGTTAGATGGCTTACACATTGGCGTCTGAACAAAGATGCTTTTAACCTCTTTAATTCATATTTTACTGTGTTTTTAATCTAGGCAAAACGGTAATGCCTGTTGTAAGTAGGGAAGAGAAGGACCAGGGGAGACAGGAGAGCAGTCTTCCAATATTTGAGGGGCTGCCCCAGAGAGGAGGAAGGGGTCAAGCTATTTTCCAAAGCACCCAAAGGCCAGACAAGGAACAATGGATGGAAGCTGAACAAGGAGAGATTCAACTATGGAAACAAGGAGAAACTTTCTGACAGTGAGAGCAATCAACCAATGGAACAGAAGTTGCCTTTGGAAGTTGTGGGCGGGGTGGTGGTGGTGGACTAGATGACCTACAAGGTCCCTTCCAACTATTAATCTGCATCTGTCTAAGATGATCAAAGGCCTAGAGGCTTATACATATGAAGAACGGTTATAGGAACTGGGCCTGGATAGTCTAGGGAAGAGAAGGACCAGGGGAGGCAGGAAAGCAGTCTTCTAATAGTTGAGGGGCTGCCACAGAGAGGAGGAGAAGGGGGTCAAGCTATTCTCCAAAGCCCCCAAAGGCCAGACAAGGAATAATGGATGGAAACTGATTCAGGAGAGATTTAGCATGGAGATAAGGAGAAACTTTCTGACCGTGAGAACAATTCACCAGTCTTTGGAGGTTGTGGGAGCTTCATCCCTGGAGGCTTTCAAGAAGAGACTGGACTGCCATCGGTCAGAAATGGTGTAGGCCAAGGGTCTCCAAACATGGCAAGTTTAAGACTTGTGGACTT